TGGCATTGGGTGCGCACCACCGATGAGTCCCAAAGAATAAGGATGAAACAGCCTTTTGTGCAGTACTTTCTAGGGGGGGGGGTCAATGATTCTCTAACTGATATCGATCCGAAAAAACAACAACTGTAGGAGTAGTTTTTTTGTGCAAAAAATTCAAGGACATAACTAAATTGATTATAGACTGTAGACAGTGAGTTTTATTCCTCAGACAGTGGCAGTTTGTACTTTTTTTTAATGTCAGGAATTGTAGTTATCTCTCATGTATATTTATCATTTTTTATTCTTTTATGTTCCCAGTGGAAGACAGGGCTTTACATTCAAAGGGATGGGGTTGCTAGCCAGCCTTATGCCTACTGAAGACGTATCTTTGATGATTATCCAGCATAGTTATAAAGAAGACACAGTGTAAGACAATTACATTGTTGAATTCTTGAGCACGTAGTGAATTCAGGCCACTCATCTCTATTAGAATCGTCTTTTAGAATCCTTAACAAAGTAAGATTAAATTTTACAATAGATTTTATGTTTAAATATTTTTGTTATTATTTATTATTATTTCCTTTAGTTCTTAGAGGAACATAGGGCTTCAGCCAAACGTCTCCACTGCGTTTTGTTCTCTGCCAACGTTTTCACCTCGCTCTAAGTCTGCCGCCCACATGCTTTCATCTCCTCTTCACATGACCTCCTCCATGTCACCTTCGCACTGACGACCAGCTGGACGCTTTCCGTTCGGGTTCCACTCGAGCAATGGCTTGTCTAGTGATGTCACTTGATGGTTTTCTCAGAGTATGGACAATCCACCTCCATTTCTTTCTCCTTATTTGTTGTACAATCGGTTCCTGCTGGGTTGGTTCGCCCCCCCCCCAGATATCCCAATTTGCTGATCTTTTCTGGCCAGCCATCTGATCTTAAGTATTGAGGGGAGATAGCCGTTGATGAAGGTCTGTAGTTTGTTTGAGGTGTTCTTCATGACGCGCCAGGTCTCTGATCCGTATAGCACTGACTTTACATTGGAGTTGAAAATCCGGATCTTATTTTCATTTTCATGTTGAGTGTTGTTGACCTCCACACAAACTTGAGAGAAATGAAAGCTCGTCTTACTTTACCGATCAGGAAAATAAATATTTATTGACAACACTAAGTTCTTATTGATCTTATGAATATATATAATGAAATAACTATTTAAAAGTTTGGATGTGTACGCTGTTAAAGCGTCACAAAATAAACCTTTAAAATATATACCTAATATCAATTGTGAAAGAGCACTGTGGTGTGAGTTTTGCGGTGTCAACACTAAAGACAATCAAGCAAAGGAAACTGGCTACACTCTAGTAAAGATTAGTATATATATTCCCTTGGGTTTCAAGTGGAATATACCACTTCAACAACACATCTCCACTGTCTTCTCTTTTCTGCCGTCCACTTCACCTCGATCCACAAATGCCTATAATATCTCATCTCCTCGATGCCACCCTAGGACGACTCACTCATCGCTTCACATTTAGATTCTAATCAAGAGATAGACTGCATTGTGCGCGACGTCATTCAACGATCTCCTCAGTGGCGTGTGCCCAATCCATCGATCTCCATTTTTGCCGACATATTTGTTGAGAGATAGATCGGCTCTCACCTGTTGGTTTGTTCCACTGCAGAATTTCTTGTTGCTGATTCTTTCTGACTGGCTGTTTGATTCTTCAGGATGGAACCAGCCAGTGAATGCTGCAGCTGTTGATGAAAGTCTCCTGTAGCCTGTTGGAAATCCTTTTTATGACATGCAGTGCAAGTTTCTGACCTGTATAGAAGAACATAGTGAGCAACTTCACATTTATCTTGAAAATCCGAATTTTGTTCTTAATGCTATGCTGGAGTGCAGAGGATTTCTCAGTTGATTTCAGGTTGGTGAAAGCGTCTGTCTTGCCTTTCCGATTCCGGCTATCTGGCTGCCTGGCTGACTTTGACGTCTTCATCCGTTCCGACTGCCTGTAGTTGAATCGATGCTTCCTAGATAAATGATGGAGGTAAACTCTGGTAAATCTCTCCCTTTGACGGTGATTGGTGCTGGTTGTTGTTGCTGTTGCAGTTCGTTGGTTATCTTCATCACCTCAGTCTTCTATATGTTAACATGGAGACCTTTCATATATATATATATAAAATCACATTCCTACTGTCAAGGAGTCAAACGTGTGATCGGTTGAAGAATTACATGACACCGGGTTTCAGTCTCACCATGGGCATCATTTCCTTACTGATAAGTGCGAATAAGAACGAAATCCACGTCCATAATCCCATCTGCCTTACTATTTTACATTGTATATACATATTATTTTGTTCACCGGTTGTAGTTCATCAGCCGATTTCAACACCCTATCAAGTAACTCATTGTTTAAACAACAGTAAGCTCCGTTAAGAGTTAAAGCTTTGGCAGCGGGCTAACAACTCCACTTCACAGCTCAAACTTGAAGGAGGCTGTTATATTCCAATCTACCTATTACTGGTAATTATAAGGTGTCTAATTTACAACAACAACAAAAAAGGTGCGTCAGTGACACAGCGGTTAGGACGCTCGCCGATCATGCCACATGTGTGTGGTTCGGGGTTCAGCACCCTGGCCACAAACTCGCTCTTTTACTACCTCGCTAAGCCAGATATATATAAAAGCTGGTAAAGAGGAATGGTTGGGCATGACGCTGGCTAACAATCCCAGAACGTGAAGGAATACGAAAAAAAACTCATGCTTAGAATAGTAAGTAAAAAAAATCTTAATTCGAAAATATCAACAAGAAGCAATCATCAGTACAAGTTGCAACATAAAATATCGATTGCTTTCGTTGCCTTGTCAACAGACTAGCGAATTGTATCATAACATTTTTTAATGTTGAGATAATTAAGAGAAACATTCGAATCCATTTGGAAAGAAAGAAAAAAATCCGAAAAATAAGACGAATTCAGTGCTACTATAAGGATCAGAGACTTGGAGCCAAGCTGCGCTGCGTCACGAAGGGCACTTCCAACAAACTACACACCTCCATCAATAGCTCAGTACTAGTCAAAATCAAATGGCCGGCCGGCCAGAAAATATCAGTAACAGGGAGGGAGGGATCTCTGGCAATGAGCGAACGAACGAAACAACCAACCAACCCACCAGGAAGCAATTGTACTGTATAACAAATATGCAGGAAGAAATGGTAGGTGCTGGATTATCCATACTGTGAGAAAACAAACCATCATCAAGTGAGTGACATCCATCACATGCCAGGCCATCGTTGCAGTGGAACCCGTCCGAATGGGAAGCGAGCGGTGAGTCAGTTGGTCGTCAGTGCGAGGGTGACATGGAAGAGGAAGAGGACGAGGTGATGCGAAGAGGAGATGATGAAAGGATGTGGACAGAAGTGGTGATTGTCGGAAAAACGAAGGCAATGGAGACGTGCGGCTGAAGCCCTATATTCCTCTAGGAACTAAAGGAAATAGTAACAAATGAATCGAATTTCTGAAGAGAGACACTCAAAGGCAACACCAGCCAAAGTAGAACAATCGATAATTTTTCCAGGTTGTGTGTATGAACTATTCATATTTGAAGTCAAGACTTGAAGTAGGGTGGTAGTAAGTTTTGAAATCAGAATGCCTGTCGTAAACTGAAAGTTGATGTGTTGGAGGATTTCATCATGACCTGTCAGGGAGTACTGGACAGCTGTTCATATCGTCCGCCTATTTTTGGGACTCTTCATCAGTACGCACCAGCCTTCAGGTTTCAAACCCAGGACCTTCTGGTTACAAGGCCAGCTAGCTCTCTGGGACCAGATCCAGTGGCCAGCCAGCCAGTCAGCCAGCTCATGAATTCTAACTTCTGCCAAACCCCAGTGAGTAACTGTCCTCACCTTCAATCTGCTGTACCCTACTGGTCACAGCATCCCACTAGAAAGAACCCCAGGTAACTGCTTACCTGAATAGGACCAGTCGCTAGTGAGTAATAGATTAATTTTCAAGTATTTGGTTTTTGTATGAATTTTCGCTTGATTTGGTGGAGCCAGCAGATGAACCATATCTCTACTAGATCTCAAAATAACTCTAATGACATCACAGATATAAGCTCATCATCGTAATCATCTCCAAAAGAACAAGATAATAACTATTACAATTACAAACTAGCAACAACAAAGCAATGGACATGATAACATGATAGTCAATAAAAACAACAACTCTAAGACCACCACCACTACCACCTCCACCCTTCAGTGGACAACCAACATAGAATGAATACTATTGGTGGAAATTTTTTGGCTAGGCCTGTCTAGCCAATCTCTACATATAGGTCTTGGTAACTAACTAACTACATTACAAAAACATTACAAACTTTAAGCTTCAAAACTAAAATAGAGACACATACACATACACACACCCTTACACAAATCTGATTGGTTCATAACTAGTCATAAATTGACTAGCAGAAAAATTTATGTTTAAGGTTCCCCTGTTATCTCCTATTTGCTTTTTTTCTATTGGTTATCTACTGACCCGACTGTGTATTGAAGAATTTAACGCATTGGTTTGTGAATGGTTGAATTAAATTAAATATACACAGAGATGGTGGTGGTGGTGGTGAGGAGGAGGTGATGTTGCTTATATATAAAATAGAAAGGGGTAGAAATATTTTTTGTTTGTTTTGTTTTTGAAATTCATAGGCTAGAGGAGGATGTTGTTATATGAACTCTCTCTCAGTGTCATTTAAACAGTAGGGACGTTCGAGTACACATCGTATACTACACTCTTGGATTTTTTAATGATATATATAATATTATCGGATTATATACTGTGGAGAAATAATAGTAATTATAATAATTGAACTTTATGGTTTAATTCCAAAAATAAATAAATAAAATATTTCAACAAACACTATTGTGAATACTGATCATTGTGGATTATATCTCTATATATCTATTTGTATATACATATATTGACTATTGAATTATCATCGTCACTATTTATTATTTGAGTGGATCATTATGCATAAAGGTCGATCACGTACCTCTGATGTATACAGAGTGGAACATCTCGTGGATAAACGAATACGTGGGGTAAGTATTGATTGGTATTGATTGATTTCTGAGGAGATTCATATATTTACACACATGTAATATATATTATAAGGATAATCTTATCCTTAGACGGTGACTCTAAACTATAACAGCCCAAAATGAAGCTGACCTAATAAACAAACTGATGACCTTGACTGATTTATTTAATTTACATAAATTAGCTTAACCCAACTATGAAGACTTCTGTGAGATTCTGGGAGGTTTGTTTTTCGAACATATATGCATAAGAATGGTATTCTATGTAATCATTCTTTTTTTAAACAACATTGTATTACTTGTATATAAAGACGTTTGTTTATTTTGCAATTGTGCACTTCTACTTCTTATGCATTTGATTAGCAGCTAGAGGTAGTTTTGGTTTTGGGCTGTTAAAGTTACCTACTTGACTAGTACCTATGGTATTATATCATATTCCCAGAGATTGAGTTATTTTCCACACTTCTATGAAATAAAATGTTACCAATAAGTCACACTGAGACACTTATGTCATCTGTAATTCCATAGTAATCTATGGGGTATATCAGATAATTAGACGACAGCTTTACAACCCATTTTCTATTATAACACGGAATAGGGCTAGCTCATTATAAATTCTTGGTCTATGTTAAATTATGTAGCAACCGTCCCGACAGATTTGACCATTGACTCAAGACAATTAAAATGCAACAAAAGTCGAGAAATTGTGGTGTTCTGTAATCCGTTTAAACTTCTGACTCTATTTTTTTAAATCTACCACCTTATAATCTCAACTCTCCCAGATGTAACAGTTATTCTGTTAAGCATCCTTCGCATATGCATGATTTGGTACTCTGTTGTTAATCCGCTATTTAAACAGTCGATCTCCGATGGCACAATTTGATTTCGCTGTACCACCTGTATATCTTCCTCTCTCTCGCTTCCTAACTGATAGTCGAAGGTTATTTTTCGGAGTGACTTATTTATTCAAACCTTTATTCGATATTAATAATGGTCGTTTTTACTAGTTACTCTAAGATGAATTCATTAATGGTTGGAAGGGCCATTCACCCTCAGGCGTTATTCACCTCAAAAGTTTTAGTTAACTAACATATTGTATTACTGATCTCAACCCACTAATCCTTCGGCAAATCCAATCCCCTTTAGTCCTACCTTCACAAAAAATCAGGTCAGACTGAAGTCGTGGGTTAGTGACTCAGCGACTCAACCTTCATTCACAGTGTTTTGGAGTCAAATTCTGCATTTTTCTATTCCATAACCCTATTAAATGTTAAAATATATTAACTGTAACAACGGAAAACATTCTTTGTTCAGGCCAACAGGGATCAGTTGGTTGGTAGCTATAGGAGTAGTGTCATCAGACATCACATGATAATTGCAGTTGATATCTGCCTGGTACAATGGAAGCCCATTTTGTGTAGTTAACAAATAATCCCTGAAAGATTCCCACCTTAGTAACAAGTAATTTTCGCCTCTATTATAAATTTATCTCTAACTGAAACATTTAGAAACATTATCAGGTAAAAAATAACATATTTCTACAACTTTTGATATGCTTACTTAATCTTCTCAAATTTGACTGTGCGAGTTAACCTGACTTCTCATTTTTTCATGGGCTTTTCTTTTTCCTTTCTTTCTTTTAGAATCGTACAGAATATCTAGTAAAATGGAAAAATTGGTCTGATGAGTAAGTTGCTAGGTTTCATATATACACAAACCTTATCACATTTCTTAAATTTCTACATATATATTATATATATTCTCATTTTATGGCATATAGTTTTTTTATCGTTAATAATCCAACTAATACTGAATTCCTTGATCTTGAATTTCAATTGTCAGTTAAAACAATTTATTATTTTAGTTTTTGGTTATTGAGAAAACTTATAGTTAAAATATTGGTAAGAATAATTTCTAAGCTAAAATGCATGCAGTATTCTGACTGCCTGCCCACGTCTATACTAAACTATATACAACTAACTAAATAGCAAGCTTACTAGCTATCTGGTCGATACTTCTTTCTGATTGGTTAATTTCGCCTATGCATTGATCTATTCTGACGACCTTCATGTATGCCTGATTTTTTCTACCCTCAGTTATATATATTTGGTTTGACCTTACGGCCTAGCCTAGAAAATAAGAAATGAACTAGTCTCTAGCGTGTTATATGTAACAGAATGACCTTGGGTGTGTTTTTTATATTGTCAAATACAGCTGTTCTGTGGTGTGTTCATGCTTGCTTAGCATGCATTATATATGTTACCTTTTAGAAGATCAGATCCTACAGGCGACGATAAAATGAATGGGTCATTTTATTGTCGGCTGTTAAAATCAGATTAGCTGTATTCTGTCTGTAGAAGACAGAATTTTACAGAATGGGTTAGAGAAAAATCTAAACTAGGCAGCTTCATCGTCTTGTAACCTAAAATAACAATGTATTCATGTACCTACGGCCATATCGCTCATTAACAAGATGTATAGTTTAGTGAGATTGGGCTAAAATACAGGGCTGTTTTTTATTTCTCAGCATAATCTAAAATATTGATCTATAGATCTATTGATCTTTATACTTAGTGGTCTTCGTGAAGTTCGCCATAGTAATAGTTAAAAATCTTTGACATTTTCGATACTTGTTATAATTATGATTTAAATGTCTGATTGCCAACTGATCTGTTAGGAAATAAAGGTCAACTCTCAGGCTTTTGGAATAAATTGGGTATAAACCTATTTCAGAGTAGCATCTATTGATGATGTCCGTCTTTGAAGTATTGTGTTCGTCTCCTTCGGGTTGAATGACAGACCTTATCATAAACTGTCAGATGATTGTTGGATATGACGAATTCCATTTCACGGCAGGTCATAAATGATAGGCATTTCATGACTGTTCAGCTTTGAATATGAGTTTTACTTGAATGAGGTCTCATTGGTCAATTTGCGTAACAGATATTCTTTATTTTCAAGTGTTGGTTTGTTGGGATTTGATTGGTTACAGGATTTCATCATGAGCTGACATTAGTTAGAGAACTATTGGAAAACCTGGGAGTACTGGACAGCTGTTTCGTCCCAGTTTGGGACTCTTCATCAGTACGCACCCACCGGGATTCGAACCTAGGACCTCCTGGTTACAAGGCGAGCTCGTATACCATTAAGCCACTGGGACCAGATCCAATGGCCCATGAATTCTAACTTCTGCCAATTCACGACGTAGCGCGACCCCTAGCCAATGTCTTCGGCGAGTATTTGTCCTCACGCCCGACGACTTCTCACTAGAACCCCAGGTGACTACCTACCTGAATAGGGCAAGTCACTAGTGAGCATCTCGTTGATTTTCAAGTGTTGCTGCACCCTACTGGTCACGACTTCTCACTAGAACCCCAGGTGACTACCTATCTGATCGCTGTAATTACATTGCGAATATTCCGTAAGGCGTGTGTGGCAGTCAATAATTCAAATCCTTACAAATCAACTCTTGCCAGTGACTTGTTGCAAGACGGAGTTTCCTATAGTTCTATTGGGAAGTCGTGACCAGTGGGGTCCATCCAATCGGGAGTGAGGATGGATTTCCCGTCGATGGTGGTCGCGCGACAACCACGAATTGGTAGAAGTCAAAATTCATGAGCTGGAGACTGAATTGGGTCCCAGTGTCTGAACGGTGTACAAGCTAGCTTGCCTTATAACCGGAAGGTCCTGTGTTCGAATCCCACTGTGGTGGGTGTGTATTTCCCATGATGAAACATCCTGCTGTCCAGTACACCCTAGTGGGTTTTCAATGGTTCTTTAACTGATATCAATCCGTGGGCAAACTGCAAAAGAAAAGAAATCTTTAGAAATCAACTCTTGAAAATCTAGAATGGTTAACAAGACTAATTGGCTGAATCGCCCACATGTGACTTGATAAGGTTGTCTATCGAATGTATTGATCAGTTTGAGTAAAAGGTCGGTATCCCACTCTGTCTGTCTCAACCTAGCAAGTGTAAGGCCTTCTCTCTCTTTCTCATTCCTTTCATTGTGAGTGGAATATAGAGGGTTCCATTCTTTAGGCTTTGATGCTTCTGTAGCCATGATGTTTTCTTTATAGGGTGAGATTGTTTGGCTCACGCCCAACCTTCGCTCATTTTTTCTGAACTTCATGCCAGTTCGTTAGTAAACCAAACAAGATTTAGGAATGCGTCTGTTAACCGAGAAACGAACCCGGCCCATGCTTGACAAGGTTGGCGACTATCTTACTGACGCCTTCATACAATGTTCAATGAAGCATGATGAAACGAACGCAGAGCCCAAATAACTTATTCTCGCTATTTTTACTGGTTTACGGATTGTTCAGCAATACAAATCTGTGTTTGAACTGGCTTTCCCGGTACCAGATTTTTCGTGTACCAAAGTAAGAACCAGTTTTGTCACAAGTGTCTGTGATACTGCCTGGTGATACTACCTAGTTCTGCAGACTAAATTTGGTGGAGTGAGACGCGTACCCATGATACACTGGTTCCACACTGACTGGGTAGTTTTACATGAGTTCTCAAGAGGAGCCTAAAGACACTCATCCTAACCTTTTGAAAAACTAGACAGTTTCATCCTGTGGCTCAGCCACTTGGATTTCCCCTCTCCTTGTGGACAAAGCACCTAAACTTTAGAAGTGTACAGTTTGGTGAATTTTGACTTATTGTGGACATTTTACGCATTACACATTGCGTTTGTTATCAGTTATTGATTTCCAATAATATTTTAATTGTATTTCTGATTTGTTATAGGCATAATACATGGGAACCAGCAAAAAATATATTGGACAAACGATTAATTGAATCATACGAAAGACGGTAAGTGATTCCATTTCAACATTAGAACACTTAAACACATCTAACTCGTAAGGCTGAGTATGTTTTGAATGAGTTTCATTCATATCAGAAGTAGGAGTGGTCTGTATTGACTTCTAGTTTAAGGATATACTGAGTGGGGTTAGATCGCAACAATGATGGGGATACTGATGTATACGTCTAGATCGCTGAAGAGACATCAAGACCATTGTATTGGTGGCTTGTATTCTGGGGACCCCGGTCGGAGAATCTGTGTCTCGGTGTAGATCACAGATTTTTTTTATTCCTTCATGTTCTCAGTGGAACATAGGGCTTCAAGCTAGTGACTTGAAGTTTCTAGCCCCATGCCCAACCTTCCCTCCTTACCAGTCTTATTACTGGCTTAGCGAGGTAAAGGAGTGCCTCGTCGGCCAGAGATCGAACCCCGAACCACGTGTGGCGTGGTTGGCGAGCATTCTACCGCTGTGCCACCAACGCACCAGCAGTTCAGATTAAGTCACAAGTTGAAGGGTCTTTATCGTGCTTCAGTCTTATTGATTCTTTTGGGTCGAAATACCGAGTCTTTAGTTGATTTAAAGCATGGGTGAGTAGGGGTTAACGCTTCGACATTTGAAACGATTGTGTGTTGACTTTGAGTCTCATTGTTAACACTCCTTACGGGATCACACACTCATACATGCATTAACTGATCAGGTACATCGGGGTGATGAGTTCAAGACAGGATAAAACACATCCATTCTAGATACCAGCATTAGTCATTATCAACTAAGCCTATCCAATGTTAACTCGTTGATGAGCCCCCACAAACGATCTGGTACACCCGAGGGTTGGTAAACTTAAAGCTTTCTCTCGAAATTCTTGCACATGGACACACTTTCATAGTGTCTGCTGGATAAGTCCTTCACATAATGACTGGTTGTTCTCAAAATAGTGAAATCCATCAACCGGACTGGTTGACACACTAGCCTACTTAAGAAAGCGGGGAAACGCTTAATTTCAAACTTTTGATGTACACAGGGGTTCCAGAATCCTGGATGATTGTGGAATGACGTGTATGAATTTGTGTTGGACACTGGCAACCCTGAGGACGTCGCTTCTAACGCGCTGGTCCATTGTCTTGTTGATCAGACTCCAAGTCAACGGTTCCGTGGACAGGGATGCCATCCGCGTAGTATATCCCAGTCCTCTCATAAAATGAACTCATTGATATTTCTTGATCATATGAGTATCGAGTCTTCATAATTTTATTGATTTTTCTCATTTTTCTCCTGATATCTTTTAGAGAGAAACGTAAAAAAAATCAATTAGCATCGTCATCATCCTCGACACCACGTGATAGAAGTCATAGTACAGAAAGTCAACGGTCGCCTTTACATTCTCCAGAAAGACACCAACAGCAGCAGCAACCACAACCACAACATGTGAAATCTGAAGAGAATTTAAATTTAAACGAATCTTCATCATTGTCGCCTATTAAATCCAGTCTAGCATCAATTGATCCAATCCTTTCAACATTTCTTCCACCTAATATTAGTACTGGTAGTACCAGTTGTTATTCAGACTTACCACTCAGTAGCAGTAGTCAATCGATAAAATCTCCACATACCTCATCAACTACTACATCAACTGATTCTATGCCAAGTCAATGGGAATTAAGCGAGTTATGCTATGATCGTCGTTTTCGACGGACTACACTATTGGTTGCTGCTGCATCGGCATCAGCTGCAAATGCAGCAGCCGCATTAGCACATTCTAGGCAATCTGGAAGACAAGCAGCACAACATTCGAGTACAACTGGGTCGAGTACTGGTCATACAACAACAACAACAACTGCTTCTACTATTACTAATATTTCCAGCAATACTAACGTTATTAGTACTACGGCTAGTATAGAAAATGCCAATTCTGTAAGTATTAAACATATATATATATATATATATATTATCGATTTTTAATTCAAAAAGAAAGAAAAATCGATTGTACTGTCGTCTATGTCTTATCTTTAATATGTGAATGCTTATCCTTATTATTATTTTATTCTATCAGTTTTAAACTGAAGTCAGTCGATTATTTGTTGCTTGATGCATTTTAATAAAGATCTAATAGTTGGAAGGTGAATACATTTCATAGGAATATGCCTTATTCTGTAAGCCAATTTCTGTTGGTTTTTTTTGGCGATACGTTAACTAAATTTATACTGTTTATCATGTGTGTTTCAATGTAGAACATTGCACAGTTGAAGTTCCCACACTCTGGGAATAGTAACATGAGAATACGTGACAGTTGGTTTGGTGGTGGATTTTAGAGATTATCAGGAGTGTGAATGAATGAGTGCATCTACGCACGATTGAGAACAATTCTGAGCCATATTACCAACACTTGTGCAGGTACATCCAGTAGACGAGTCCCAAATAGGACGAAATGCGCATCCTGGATTCCACTGCTATTCGCTATTCACCAATTAAATACAGATTAGCAACAGTTCGCATTCAGTCAAGTAGTCTGCACCTCCCTGTATGTGTAGATCCAATCAACCGCCCAAGATTCCATCGACTCAGACCACCCGTAACACTTTCCCAACCTAATTGTATTTTAGAAAATATTACTTGACGAAGAAGGCATGCGTAACATGTGTTTTAAGCATCTCAATCGATGTAGCTTCACACACACACACACAACCTTATCGATTGACTCCCTCCATTATCTCGCATTGAACTGGGATATTACTATCATATGCTTTAGAACATGGGAAATGGAGCACAACCTTTTATGATCCCAAGATGGTTAGTCTGTTGAAGTCTCCTATGTACGAATAGAATCATGTATTGTACGAGTAGTACCAGTTGTTCTTTGTTTATTCTCCTTTAATTGATTTTTTTTTGGACTGAGTTTGTGGTAGGTTTGTGTTCTATTCATTCATGGTTTTCTTTTGACAGTTCTGAAATCCATTAATGATCTAGGTTGCTTATTGATTTAGTCATTTGATTAGTTTCTCAAGTTTGATCACCACTAATTGGTAGAAATTAGAATTCATGGCTATTGAGTCCAGGTCCCAGTGGCCTAATGGTTTACGAGCTGGCCTTGTAACCGGAAGGTCCTAGGTTCGATCCCCAGCGGTTGGTTTGTACGGGCTATGAGTCCCAAACTAGGTGAACGGAACAGCTGCACTGTCTTTGACCAAGTTGATCAGTCTGTGTTCACACAACCAGGGTGATTCATAGTCTATCATATTGACTTAGAAACTCATCTTGTCGGAGTTCGAACCCTCTGCGCCTATTTCAACAAGGCTTCGTAAAGAAAGTTTGACTTATAGTCTGTCTGATGCATGAAAATCCTTCTTGGCATAACTGAATTCTCGCTAACCTTTTCCACTAAAAAAATGCATCCCCTTCTCCCAGTTTTTCACCATCCTAGTAGTTTATTTTGTGTTCTCATCTTTCGTATATATATCTCTCTCTCTTATTTCACAGACTGTCAGTTTACAAGCACAATCAAAAATGACTAAAACAGAAGCAGTAACAACACCACTTTCAGATGAAAATATCGAAGCAAGACCAAAAATCCGTTTAACAATCCCACGTGATCGAATCCTACCATGTCCACCAATCGGTGTATCGAGTAACTCGTCAGCCTCTTCAGCTAATAATACATCAATCAATAGTTCTTCGTCATCATCATCAAATCAATGTCTAGATGATTCTGATCATTCAATATCAATGACTGAGTCAACCTCTGTTCGACACGAAGATGTTAACACCAGTGGATTATTTGTTGCCCCGGTGGAATTACCTCGACGATGTTATAATACAGCAACAGCCCTGTCACCACATTCACTAATGAATCCAACCGGTGGAATGCGTTTACCCGACATACAGATAGACAATCGTAGTCACTTGCACGATTACGAGACAAGTAAATCTCCAAAATGGAATAAACAGTCGCCGTGTACAAATTATACTAATCATACTAGTGTTTCAAGTATGATGCAACTGCCTAAATTACTTATCTCTTCGACAAATTTATCCTCAACTTCACCATCTCCTTCATCAGCAGTACCTTATGATATTGTAATATCAGGATCATCATCAGTATCAGCATCAGCATCGAAGAAACGCAGACGGCAGTTTAGTTCAGAAAGTTGTCTATCTTCTCCATCACATGCTTATAGCGTTGTTGAACATGACGTGGTGGTTAAGAAACGGAGACATTCACAGAAGAAAAAAGATAAGCGGAAACGTCGTCATGAACAAATCTCTGAATATCAAGAACAACAGCAACAACATCATCATCGTCATCATCGGGACCATCGGCATCACCAACATCATGGAAAGAGTGGATATGCTTCATCTTTTGAAGAGTATAACACTTTAAGTATGAATAAGATCCGTCGACGGAGTGGTTCCTCATCAGCATCGCATACCTCATCTACCTCATCATCCTCCTGCTCCTCTTCCTCTGCATCCTCTTCATCAACATCCTCTTTATCACCGACAATTCTATCGAATACAATATCACCTCCTAATCAAGAAGAAGGATTTCCTCGATTAGCTCCTCTACGTATCCATTTACCTAGATCAATTACTTCACAGTTATCTGCATCAGAGTCTTGTATAGATAATCAATCATTTATCGATCATACAACTAGTGGGGGTGGTGGTCAACGATTAGCATCTTGTGGAATGAATTACAGGAGTACTCATACTTATACTACTAATAATAATGGTAATAGTAATAATAGTGTTGTAATTGATCATAATGCCAATACAAGTCATATCCAGATAAATCATTCCACAAAACGAATCCATTTAGTGCCAGAAATGTGTATTACAGATATTACAGTGAATGGTTTAACGATAAGTATTAAAGAATGCAGTGGACCTAGAAATTTCTTTGGTATACCAACTAGTCAAGTTGTTCAATATAACTCACCCTCCTCCTCCGCGTCGATAAAGAAGGCTGGAGATACTTCCATCGGAGATGAGTATACCACACCAACTACTACAACGACAACAACTAGTAGTACTTCAACAACCACAACGACAACAACGAGTTCGTCAGCTGCCTCCGCTGCTGGTGCTTCCACGTTGAATAACACGACTTCATCATCGTCGACAAATACAACGAGCACACCACCGACAACAAATAATACGCATTCATCTACTACACGTACTGTTAAACCATTATGTGTTGTTAGTTTAAAGGAGCAGAATGTTTTAACGACGTCGATATCGTCACCACCACCACCAGCGTCGACAAAGTTAGAATCCTCTGGAGTTTATCAAACGCCACCAATGACTGATAGTGTGATATCCATTCCAAAAGATAACGAAGTTGATGATCGTGATGGTGATGTGGTTGACGAAAATCACGTAAAAAAAAACTCACTTCAACAATATGGGGATGAAAATATTGCTCCCAGTGTCACTGATGAAGAGATATCAAGTCATCATCATCGAATCGGCGGTCTTCAACTGCCTGTTCCCATTTCAACATCATCATCAGCGACATCGTTATATCCTCCACCTTCATCTCCGTCAACTACTACACCGCCAATCGTCATTATTACATCATCCTCATCTGATTCAGATAATCGTCAAACTCATCGACTGAGTACAATCTATGAAGATACAGAACCTTCTTCTTCATTAAAATCTGAGAAAGAAGAGACTCTTGTTGAATCTCCTATTAAAACTGAAAGTGTAGTAACATCTACACCCCCACCCCCACCACCACAACAACAGCCGGAGATTACGTCATCAACAACACTTGTCTGTCCTACAATTGATACTAATCTCGCCAATAATTCACATCCAACATCCTCTCTTCTTCTAGCTGCAACTGAAGCAGCTACAAAAAGTGCATTAGACTCACCATGTTCCCCTGGTCTATTAATATTTCCCCCACCAAGACGTTCATCTACACCGATAGAACATAGTCCAGCTTATATAAATCAATCTTTAATGATAAATAATACTAATCCTTTAGAAATCGATAAATCAATAAATCATCTTGTATCATCATCATCGGATAATTTGACTACTACTACTACTATTACTATTAGTGGTGATAATGGTACTGTCATTAAATCGATAACTAAATCAATGCCAAGTACAGAGTTGTGTGCTGCTAATTTCAATCGTAAACATTTAAATTCAAAAACAACAACAGCATCAACGATTACATCACCATCTTCATCATCGTCATCATCACCATCAACTCGACCTATGGCAACTATATTTGGACAAGTACGTAATCGTAATACCACCACCACAACTACCAGTGTCTTGATGAATAATAATACCTCAGAGACTGGATCTACGCGTAAATCAACTGGGAAGTCAAAACATACCACTATGCCATCGACAGGATCGAATATTTGGAGTAATTCCACTACTACTTCTACTATTACCACTTCTAATACTACTATGGATACCTTGAAGGATGCATCTTTAAAGCCTATTGGTCGGATAAATGCTTCACACTATGATGATAATAGTATTGATCGTAATAACAATAATAATAATAAGAAATGTAGTGATCCAAGTAAAATTTATACTTTCACAGGTGAATCCTCGCCGACATATAATCTAGCTAGCTGTTGTGGTGATGATGATGATAATACTTCCTCATCGCCGTTATCATTGACATCATCTCCACGAAATACCTGTCCCCTCCCTTCATCTTCTTCTTCTACTACATGTTCTGATCTAAAGCATACCAATGTCAATAGTTCCAAGATATCACGATCAAGTAAACATAATCATCATAATTCAGGATATCGTAATCATGATTCCTTGAAATGTTCAATATCATCATGTACACCAACTCCCCCGCCACCCTTACCACCACTAACACAACCAGCATCCTCCTTCCCGTTATCATTTTCAACTGCCTACATCAATAATAAAACACTCCAGCAATCCTATTTAAATATGCCTACACTTCTACCATCTGATGATATGTTGTATTTAATGAATAAACAAGGTTGTTGTACTGTTGGAGACAATGAAATGACGACAACAACAACAATCATACCGACGAGTCTCAGTACTTCTACTCCGAATAGTTTCAATTACATGCCAAACGGTAATGCGAATAACAATGTTGGTCAGTGTAATACAGAGGCTGCATTGGCAGCAGCTTCATGTCTGCAACAATTACAAATGCAATTTATGTGTAGTGCTAATCCATTAGCTATGGCAGCAGCATTATCTGCACTGAGTGGTGGTGGTGGCGGTGCCGGTGCCGGCGGTGGATTCCCAACAAATCCCCCTCTCCTTCCACCAAATATGAATTGTCCACCAGTTCGGTTTAATTTCAATTCTGATATGAATACAAACACTCCGTGTAGTAATAGTAGTAGTACTAGTGTGGGGGGTAGTGGGAATCCTGCAAACTTTGATTGGTCAACATCGACGCCTTTCTTCCCGAATTCAATCGATTCAAATTTACCAATGGTATTTCCAAATGAATCGAATTTCCTACCGCCTAATCCATCATACTCTACAGGTGTGAATAATAATAGTAATAATAATAATAATTCAACGCTTGGACAATTCCATCCTATGGATGGTTATGGTATGATGCTGATGATGAATGCTTTGAAGCCTAGTGTTGTTACGTCATTGGCAGGTGCTGCTGCTGCTGCTGTCATACCCGGAAGATGTGACTATTATCCTGTAGACAATTGCTGTGTAAATACTGTTGGGGGGGATACAGTTGGATTAGTCTCGGAATCTTCTGATCTCCCAATTGATTTATCTGCAAAACGGTGATACTCGGAGTGGGGGTGGGGAAGGTTGCTGTTGTTTGACGTGTGAGGGTGTTTGTGCGTTTGTGCGTATGTATTACTACCAAGTGCTTTCATTGTATATATATTATAACATACATACATACAAACACACTTTAATTCCAATTTGTAAGGTGCTCATGATTCCATATTTGAGATTCATTTTATATTTATTTATATATACATTTATGAGGACACATATATATACCATATTTCATCGATTTTTATCGATTTTTCTTTTCTAGTTACCTATTATCGGGGTTTCCTTCGCGTGTGTTTTTCTCTCTCTTGTAAATACTTTTTTTATTGATCCCCTTGTACCTTATTATATGCACACATCCATATCTCCTCCTCTATCGTAGTATTGTTTCACGTCAATATCATGACTACTGGGGTAGTAAATTTATCGACGTGGTATAAGATGAGATGAGATACACCTCACATCGCTATTATTCGTCTATTTTACATTTTTCGTTTGTTTTATTCTTTCAATCACTCACCTAATTTATTGATTTTTTTATTATTTCGAATTTGGTCTTTATAAGTTGCTATCAAACTTTTCTTTGTTGATATTTTCATTTTCATTTACTTCTTCAGTTTCTGTCTCTCTCTCCCAGACACACACATACACACGAACATATACAGAGTATTTGCACATATTTATTACGTAATCATTACTATTATTCTTTATAAAGATAGTATATAAATACATCTGCCATATTTATACATATATATTGATATTGTATTGTATTGTATTGATTTAAGTAAGAATTAAAATAAAGAACAAAGAGTATTATCTATTGATCAATTTATCGATTTTTATAATAGTGTATTTTTTAGTTATTCATGTCTATTTTGTGTATAGTTAGTTACTCTGGAGAGAGAGAGAGGCGGGGGGGGGTATGATATACACCATTGTCGGGATGATTAGAAGCATGACTGTAACAGAATTGGATTTGATCTACTCTGCACAAATGCCTGGATCTTTTATAATCATGCTAAGCATGTATGACGATCAAGTTCTCAAACCTTACAGTGTAGTAGACAGTTGTTGGTTGTGTGAACTCTGATACCCAGGATATATGAAATCCTCAAGGGACAAATATCACTACTAATGAAATACACGGTTATAAGGATTGCCGAATAAATAACCGGGACTTGACTTCTTGTCAACTGCTTAAAAAAACCCATTTCACCTATATACCTCACTATATCCATTTAAATCACAAAAATCGATTGTAATCTGATCTAAGAGACAGTCGTTCTGCTTCTAACAGCATTTAATATGTATTGCATTGGATGGACCCTGAGGGTTGAAAGATAGCGATAGGATTGCATCGATGCTATTGAAGAGGCCTTCGAGACTTATTACGAACAATCCCATTTGTGACACGTCGGGTGGAATTATCTTCCCTCGAGTGATGTACAGTGTAGTTATTGGGAAGGGTGGGTGGTGGGGAAGTGGGGGACTTGTTGTCACGTCTGTTGAGACGAGTTTGACTATCAGACATTCTAAATGATATTTCATGGTTGTGTTACCTAATTCAGATTGTTGTTAAGCATCGGTAGCAATGGTGATTATCGATGGAACTCTCTCCATCTTCAACATTTGTACATGTTGTGGTTAGTGAAACTTATCCGGTGTTGGAAATTGCATGACTTATTGAGCTTCAACCTAGTTACCCCACTCCATGTAAAGTACATAAGAAGAATAAGAGAGAGATTCAAAAGAATAATTTTGATTGAACACTAGTCAGTTAGTAACTAGTGTAATGTGTATGTGTGTCTGGTCCTTGGTGTTTGGTGCAGACTGAATTCTCTCTGTCAGTCACGTGTACAATGTGGCCACCAGGGCACTAGGTAGGTCACCATCAAGGGTGCACACTGATTTGATGATATTAGATGGTTGGAGGCAATCGGCCGCAGAAAGCCTCGCTTCACCAGGGTTTCGTGCCAGTTACCACTCACCAGTCAGTCAGCAAGGCGTATTTGCATTCTTGAAGGAATACTGAATAATATGAAGTGTCCAATCAAGGTATCCAATGCAGTTAGTGATAAATAAGGTGAATATAGAGTTCACGGATACCTCAGGGGTTACATCTATAACCGCATCACTGGATGATGCGAGTTTGAAAGTCAGAAGAAACAAGATTTCCTTGAAGATTATAGATACGCCTCGGTTACGAGAGCCTAAAAATACGAAACCTCAGTCGAGGTCTTCCTGCCGATCGCCTCCAACCACCTAATATCAAAAATTCACAGTTCAGTGTATCGTGATTGCAAGCCATCTAGTGGTGACATGGTGGCCATATTGCAAACTTGACTAATCGAACTAAGTTACTGTCTAGTGTCAAGTCAAAAGTTTTCAGCACACTCCTATAGGAGGTCAATCACTAATCCGAATACCTGCTCAGTGGTAACATCTCTGACTTCAGACGGCACTGGGAAGTGACGCAGGTTCGAATTTCACACTAGGATCACGAGTCCCTTCTTCACGGTTGTAGATACGCCTTGCTGAATGACTGGTGTGAGTGCCAACTAGCGCAAAACCTAGGTTAGCTCAGGTAGGGTATCCTGTGGCCGATTGCCTCCAACCATCTAATTCCAAGGACTTAGAAGAACTATTACAAGCTGAAATATGAGTTTTAACAAAGCAAGAACTACAGTTTTAGCAGAATAAAGTGGTACCATCTTTTATTTCGTTGCCTTCTCGTCTGTTGCTTACAGGCCAAATACATCATTAAATATACATCTACAAAAGCAATTTTAACATACTTGCACAGAGTTCATTTTAAACAAAAATCAATCGATCACTATATGCATACAGTAATAATATATACATATATATACGTAATATTAAACACAATAATAATCATACACAATGAAAACTTTCCAGCATTTCACATTCAGTTACCAGGGTAAAGAAAGACTAATAACTGCTTCTTTCTGAACGCATAAATCAGGTTTCAGGCACTTGATGGAGATTGCTTTGGCAAACTTAAGGAGAATTGAGCACTTTTGCCTATTGATAATTTTGATCGACTTTTCGACGTCCACCTCATCACTCGTGTTGAGGAGGTGCCTGGCGACGGCACTGTTTAAAGCATTTGTTCCCTTTAGAAGTGAGCTTTTTGGTACATGTTCAGAAAATCGTAAATATGCCCTTTCTGTTCTTCCAATGTAACTGCTCCCACAGATGCATGTAAATTTGTACATACAGTTGGAGTTGTTAACATGAGAAGGATATCTATCGATTTTTGATTGCACCAGAGAAGAGCAAGTTGTTCGATAGACGGAGACGAGCTTAGCTGAAGGATAGGCCCTGGCTAGTGATGTACTCAGTCTTCTGTTGATCATCGCTGAAATGTTTTCACCTTTGTAATCAAGCTGAAAATAGATAGGCTTTTTTCCTACTGTGATTTGTTTTACATTTGTGACTTCAGATCTTCTGTACTTGTTAATGAACCATTAAGGGTACCCACTGCTCTTCAATATCTTTCTAAGAAAATCAAATTCTTCCTCTAATTTCTCTATAGAGCATATTCTCCTCGCTCTATAGTATACAGTCTTGACTAATTCGCGTTTAAAGCTATTTGGACAAAAGCTATTAAAATGTAAGCATTTTCCTTTCCAAGTTGGCTTTCGATAAATTGACTTTTGAAGACTACCGTCTTCTGGGCGTTCCATGGCGATGTCGAGGAAGTGGAACTTCCCGTCACTTTCATGTTCCATGGTAAACTCGATATTGGTGTGTGCATTATTGAATAATCTGAGCAGGTGTGAAGCATGACTTTCGTTGTTGCACACTACAAATGTGTCATCGACATATCGATAGTGGGAAGTTGTGTCGTCGATTGCATGCTTCAACTTTGTTCTTTCAAGGTTGGACATGAATATTATATCTGCTAAAACAGGGCTAAGTGGACTGTCCATAGATACACCATCTATTTGGTGGTAAAGAGTTTTGTCAAATTGGAATTGCACATCCATGGTACACATAAGCAGTAGGCGTTTGAATTCCGACTCTGGGAGTGAGAGAAGATCAGACTGCTGACAAATGATCTCAATACTTTCGTTGATTGGAATCAGTGTGAACAAAGAGGTTACATCAAATGTCTTTGGCCTGTAAGCAGCTGACGAGAAGGCAGCGAAATCAAAGATGGTACCACTTTATTCTGATAAAACTCTAGTTCTTGCTTTGTTTAAATTCATTAAGGGGAATAAATGTATGAAATATGAGTGTTGAAATTATAGTTACACGAACATAAACATGAGGGTTTCATGAATATAAGTGATCAGAAGGAGTGAATACATCTACGCCATTTGACAACAATTTTGAACCATGACTGACTGACCGGCTGACTCAAAACATTTAGGAAATACTTCATGGACTACTGGTGGGCATTTTCATGTTTAGAAATGTATACCCTATCAGATCGTCTATCCGATTGTTTATCATACACTTATCCAGGTGATAACGCCTGTCATTTGTGTATTAGACTTTGAATTCGATTAATGTTAAGCGTTGGTTGGTTATAGGTGATCTCTGGAAGATATTAGTTCCAGAGCATATCTGAATCTACTGAAACACGCAGTGGTGATGTGTTTTTCAATAATCAGGATTTTTATGGTCGACTGCCTACTAAACATGTTAATCAATATTTGCCTCAATATGCCCATTTAAATAACGAAAATCGATTTTAATCCGTAGAAGAAATGGTTAACTGCTCATAGCAAACTGATTATTCTATGAAACATTAATATAAATATACCCGCGGTTTTTTATTTTGTGGAATAACTCTCCAAATCCTTCATTTGACGGTGGCTAGTAGTAGAAACCAGGAGGGTGTGTTGCACAGAAATTCAGCATTCCAGGTCACTTGACTTAAAAGAACTACAATCATTAAAATCTTCTGAGAGGAGAATTAACTACTTGGAGCATAATTAGAATTTGATAGGTCTACTAGTTCAAAAGATAGTGAATAT